GCTGTTACAATTCCTGTTTCTCAGAGTGAAGCACTATAATAGTGGAGAAATAAGATCTTTTTTTTTTTGCAGAAAAAATGTCAGAATGAGGCGCTACGAAGATATGAAAAAGCAAAAGGTTCGTACGGTGAAATACTGGTTTCTGGATCAGATGATTTTACATTGTTTTTTTGGAAGCCTGCCGAGGAAAAGAAGTCGAAAACACGGATGACTGGTCATCAGCAACTTGTTAATCAGGTAGCAAGTTTGATGGTAGAGAAATTTTTTGTGCAATAGTTGCGAAATATTAAAATAGATATTTCGTAAAATTAAAAATTTTCCCTTTTATCACTGATGCTAAAATCAACCTTCATTCGCAAAAAGTTTTCATTATCATATGTAATCTATATTATACTTTTTCTCATGTTTATTTTTAACACTGAATAGATCTTACTGAGTAGACTGGCGTTGTCCGTATCGGCATAGCAATTGAAAAAGTTGCTAGCTGCACAGTTGGAGAGAAACACTATAAATTGCAGCTAAGGAAGTTAACAGAGTGTGGGAACTGTTTACGCAAATTTGAAGATTTCTTTCCAGGTAGTGTTTTCTCCGGACACACGTTATATCGCATCAGCATCGTTCGACAAATCCATAAAATTATGGTGTGGACGAACTGGCGCTTTCATTGATACATTAAGAGGGCATGTTCAGGCAGTTTACCAAATTGCTTGGTCTGCGGATAGCCGACTGATTGTCTCCGGCTCTGCAGATTCAACGCTCAAAGTATGTTTATATGAATTATTTATAGGTGTTTGATTTGTACTAGGATGTCCAACCGAAAGATGCCCTTAGCTGAATTAAGGCCACACATGGATATAGAATATCCTTGCAAATTTTCAGTTTCGCAGCTTGTCGAGTAAGCAAAATAGCCACTTCGCTACAAATATCTTCGAAATGCCTTAAATCGTTGCGCAAATGCGAATCAAAACTCAATTTAGGTGTACGATTTTCCATACGAACAACACTTATTTTCTCAAATATCCCTATAAAGTTTCAGCTTTCTGTCTTGGCCGGTTCACGAAATCGTTTCCCGCCAGTGAAGTTTTCCATACTTTTTGGGGTTCCGTACGTGAGATCTATGTACGCATAAGCGAAGATTTTAAAACGGGAGGTTAACACACGGAACGGAAATGTAACCCCAAAATTCCAGCCTTCCTACTTCCCTGGTTGCTGACTTGAAAGTGGGTGACAAAGTTCATTCGTTTCCGAACACACGCGTACATGCGCGGTAATTCCTCGACAGTATGCGTTTTTTTTTTCACTGTAGTAGCACTATAGCGTTGCACAGCAAAAACGCATAAAAATTGGTAAACAATCTACAGGATTTGTTTAGGTTTGGGATGTTCGCAAACGAGGGCTGTGTATGGATTTGCCTGGGCATGGTGATGAAGTGTATGCAGTGGACTGGAGTCCCGATGGTGCACGTGTGGCAAGTGGCGGCAAAGACAAATTGTTGAAGTTGTGGCGACAGTAACAAATCTAATGAAGGGCTTAGTTTTTAGCTTTCCTTCTGAAAAGAGTTTCAGCTGTTTTGAACTAAAATTTGTTAAGGGCTTCCCTTATGTGGCTTCAGCTGTTTCTGCAGGCGGTATCCGGTGCTTTAAGAATTTTTTGATAAGGAATTCTGGCGTATCTCATGATGCCGATGGGTGGTGCCGTTAAAAAATAGCTTTGAAAGGGCGGTATCAGCTTAAATGAAAGGGCTTTTTAAGTAAAAATTGAACATTTTTTTCGCAAACGAATGAAGTCAATTGAAAAATGAACGGCATAATCACCAACAGCGAACTGACCACTCGTTGATGCAGCTTCAATCACAGTGGTCAGGAAAAGGTGTATATGCATGTTTGGTACGAAGAACAGGAATATCTGTCTTGGAAGAATGTTTGATTCAAAGAAATAAAGTTGTTTTACAAAATCGCCTAACATGCAAGATATTTTTTGAGCGGTTGTGCGAATGTTATTTGATGTGTGCTCATATCATACTCATAAACGATGTGCGAATCGAACAAATGATATGTTTCATATTGTGCTGCCGGGTACGGTATCCCACTCTTGAAATCCTCGGGCAGATTTGGGTAATATAATTTCAGATCGTTGATCAATGATGCTCTGTTGCTGGCTAAATCATATGTTGCAAATACATCGCCCTAAAAAAAAGCATTTGTTCCAAAACCAAAGTTTTATCTGAAATTATTTTTTGTCAGCTCATAAAACGACTGCTTGGCCTAATAAGTGGCAGAGGATATGGGTAAAAACATGCAGCGTAGGAGAGAATAAGCCAGCATAACTGGGTGCCCTGATTTAATACTGGAGCACCACTGCTTCCAAATTTTGGATGATTTTGTTCATTTCATAAAATTTTCAATTTAATTTTGATCACTAGTTAAACTTCTGAACAAAACGAATCGTATCTTTGATTTGATGTTGTTAACCTTACAATCTGTTTGTGTTTAAATTTGTTGAAATGAATCTCAGTTAAGGCAAAATTTCGCCTTTTACTACTACTTACTGCATCTTAACTGGTTTAAAAAATTGCTTGGCTAAACGTTGTTTGTTTGCACTCAGTTTTCTGTTTCTTAAAACCGATGGTTTTGACTTTTCTGGAACCGAAATGCGATAACTATATAGCTCACAGGGCACATAATTCTCCGGATTAATTGAAATTCCCATGGTTCGTGTGGTTCTTAAACTACCATTTTTGTGGTTCTTAAACTACCATTTTCAATTACATCTATCAAAACTTACTGATATGAGAATAGCACTTCCGTTTTCGATTGGAAAGGCGGCTTGTGGAAAAAACAACACACGATTCTGTAAAATTTTTGGCCATCCTCGGGTCGGCCTATAAATGCCTTTTATCGTTTTATTAGTCCAACTGTAAGACTTTAACTAACCTTCCTGAAAAAATTCGATCATTGAACGAAAAGTGTACAAAGATCTTGAGAAATACAATCATCGATGGGTGAATGTGATTGGCGTTTCAAAAGAAGCGCCTTCTGAAGAATACAGGTGGAAAATGTTCTAAAAACTATGTTTGAAACGGAAATGAGCGACGGATTATGGACCTAAGAAGAAGAAGGCAAGATGAAAATATGTTGAAATTTGTGATCGATTCTGTTGCATTGCATTTTGATATTCCATCACCTCTAATTCGCACTTCCAATTAGCAAATTTCTGCCATGGTTAACCAGAGCTGATATTTGCAGTTTTGCAGATGAAAAGTAGAAAGGCTTCCGCAAACGATGACAATATGGAATACATCAGAACTGGACAGCACGAAGTTTGGAATGCTTCAGCGATGGTATAAGTCCTCAAAATTTCGACGCCACTTCGCAAAAAACAATGGCATATGCTAGTAAAGCGAAAGCGGAAAAGCAAACGCTGAATACGGCGAAAAAGCGGTGGAAGCGAAGAATGCTTGGTGTGCCTCCTCGTGGCCATGTAAGTAATCAGACTTTTCGTCAGATGAATGGTTTGTAAGATAATATTGGGACTTTGAGAAATTAAAATGCAGCGGGAGTGAAATGTTGTCTACCTAGATGGATTTTCCAGAAAATTAAACAGCTAGTCGGGCAGGGTTTGAAGATTTTGAGCACTTACACGGAAAAGACGATAGGTTTTGCTGGAGATATGCAAATTAAAATCAGAGGTCCTAGTACAATTACACTCTGCGTGTGAAGACATCCCTGTAACATCATTAGTATTGGATCCTCATCAAAAAAATTTTTGGGTTATAACGAGTTTTTCAACCAGTTTCTTTTTTTTTGGGACCGATTTTTGTTTTCATAAAAGAAAATATACCTGAAAGTCTCCGTAGTTTTGTCAACATTAAATGCATAAATTGTTCGATCGGCGATCAGATAAGTGTGATGTTTGGTCGATACCGATGCATTAACGTACTGCGGCCCACCGGCGAAAATCTAGAAATCAGGAACAGGAAAAGTTCGATGCTGAAATAGTTTACTACATATTACTGTAGTACACGACATCACGAAAATATGTAATATTGCAGGAGGGGACGTAGTGATAAAAAAAAGGTAGTAAATAGCGGCGCGCATCAGGTAGCTGATGCAATAGTGCGTTTTGTGCAACTGTTTGCAGTAAACGCTTGTGCAACTCTGTCCAAGAAAACCTTGCTGTTGAGACTGTTTGGCGCGAAAACTTTCACATGCCCGTACGTGAGATTTAGATGCGCACGAAGAATTTACGGGAAGGATTCTTCCTGGACGCGAGCAGGAAAAATTCTAAAATTTCGGCTTCTGTGCTTCCGAGTTAATTTATGCGCCAGTCCACCTGATGGTAGTGAGACTTAAGCATACACGTGTATTGAATTTGAGTTCCCGAGGTCACAAGGGAGTAGGGGATCCGCTGTTAAAATTTCAGCTTCCTAGCTTTTCTATCCTTGAGTTAAAATCCCTGATAAAACGTATTCG